ATTAACGGCATTTTCTAAATCAATTTTAAAAGAAATAATAAAAAAAAAAAGAAAATAAACACAGTCTCCCTTTCACGACGTAACGCCACGTCGAGAGATACTTTTTAATTTTTATTGATTAAATAAATAAAAGCGCCTAAAGTAACCCGTGTTTAAGATTCCGCCACACGTGCGAGTCTCTTATAAAAACCGCGAACAAACCTCCACTTCATTTTAGCCTAAAATTTCTAAGAGAGGGAGAATATAAAATATAAATAAATAAAAAAGTATATCCTCTTGAGTCACTCCGCGGATAATCCCACGTCATCACCGGAATATTCCTTCTCCGGCCACAGGTACTGTTATCGGAAGCCTTTTCCGATTCATCGAGGGGCGAAAAATCGGATTTATTGGAGTCCGATTTTCCATTATTTTCATAATTTTCTAATTTTTAGTTTAAACTGGCGGATCGGTTTCAATCGAATACCATTTCAAGTTGTGGAAACTTGAGCTGGGCTTCATGTGTGGTGTCTCAATTTTTGTTGCAGATTCAAGTGTGTTTAAGGATGAACAGTAGAATAATTGTAGTATTTTGGCGGATCGGTTTCAATCGAACAGTATTTTTGTTGCAGATTCAAAAATTTCTTACAGTTAACCAATTCTAGAAAAACATCGAAGTAGTTGCGTTTTTTCTGCGTAGAGGAGAATGAATTCACTTTTATAATTTTATTGTGCTTTTGTTTAATCATATCCATTAATAGGATTGATGGGTTGAGCTGTGAAATTTGAGTTTGAGTTTTCGTAAGGAATTATTATGAGTTTCTTGCTATGCCTGAGCTTTTGCTTCAATATTCATTAGACTGAGTAATATCGTCTGTTGGGATTCGTAAGCACTTACTTTCGCGTTTCATGAGCATAAGGAGCTTCTACTGAAATGTTATATTGTTCCTATTACTTCTGAGTAACAACATTAGATATCGAAAAAACTTGTAGGAGATAGCTGCAGAGGAGGATAGCCTCTTTAAACAAAGCTCCGGGACTTTCTGGTAAGTTCAGCTATAGGGAGGTCCTTCAAATTGATTATAATTCAATTTATGGTGATCATAAGTAGAATGATTGACATGAGCAATAAGACCTAGAAGTGGTTAGGACATGTTTAAGCACGGGTTCGATTCACTTTGCATGGATAGAGCAACTTCTTAAACGAAACATAATGAATAAATTTGAGCAAACTTAGATCTCATCTGCCAAATTTACGCAGTTTATTCTACTTGTAGCACGAAGATTGTTGTCCTCCACTTGAAACAGCCGATTAACAGGTCCTATATTGGCAGTACCGAAAATGCCATACCTCGTACGCGAGAATTTGTTCATCGGCAACATTGGAGATGCTGCAGAAGTTCTCCAGAATGGAAGTGATGACATCACACACATTCTCTCGGTCCTAAGCTCAGCTTCGATTTCGTTCTTCTCGGAGTGGCGAAGTGGGATTTCAATCCCAA